CCTCGTCCTCCCTCGTGCCCTTCGTCATCCCTCGTCCTCCCCTCGCCGTCGCCCTCCCTCGTCCTGCCCCCCTCGCCCCCCTCGTCCCCTTCGTCCTCCCCTCGTCCTCCCCTCCTCCTCCACAACTACTCAATATGAATACTACTCTCCCTCTTCCCCTGATGGCGTGCTGGGAGTAGCCGACCCCCCCCCCCGCGTCGTGCTTTCGCTTGCGTTTTTGTTGCTTTTGTTTGTTTGTTTGGTTTGTTTGTTTTTGGGTTGTTGGTTTGTTTTGCTATGATATTATATATATAATATATATATATATATATCTATATATATATATATAGATATAATATATAATGCTGCTCTCGCTGAGGCGCCGGCCTCATTTCTGCTCCCGAATCGTTCCGATTCGTGCTCCCGCTGCAGCGTGGGCTTCATTTTCGGATCGGTGTTTGGCCTCCGTCGTTCAGGATGGCGATCTCGCCCCAGCGCGGGCCTCTTTCTCGCGCGCCGATCCGCCCGCCACCACCGCGCCGCACCACCACCGCCACCACCACCCCCACCAACCACCAACCCGGCACCACCACCACAACCACCACCAGCACCACCACCACCACCACCAGCACCAGCACCAACACCACCACCACCACCACCACCACCACCACCAGCACCACCACCACCACAACCACGCACACACGCACGCACGCACGCACGCGCACCACCACCCACTACGCACGCGCGCGCGGAGCTACAGGTCCGCTACGACACGCGTCCGCGGATGGAGAAAATCAACGCCATGGTAAGGGATGGGAGGAAGGGGTAGGACGTCAGATATGACGCGAACGCACCCAGCTTGTCCTCCCCCCCTCCTCCTCCTCCCCTTCCTCTTCCTTCCCTCCCCCATCTTATGGTGGTGGTGGTGGAAAACGGGCTTATCGCCGCGCGGATCCGAGTCATCCGCGCGGACGTCCGAGTTTTGTACTTGTGCCATTCTCTGCCCCCCTAGAGAAAACTGGCAGGTGTTTCGTTCAGGAGGGAGAAAAATAACACAGACACTGCGAATCGTCGGTTCCCCGGAAAATATAGGAAAATATGGGAAATGGGGGGGGGGGGGGCAAAAACCCAGAACATATAGGAAAATACAAGGAATCCTGCGATATGTGTATGTTGATTTGTGTGTCCCAGGGCCCCTTTATTCATCCCTGGCCATCTGCCAGAGGGGAGGATCCTGCGCTCCACGATCGAGAGGGACGTGCCCTTGGACGACTTCGTCCGCGCCGTGGAGAAGTACCGCCGCGACCGGGCGCGCCGCAGAGAGGCGCCGGCTCGCCGTTTGCTTTGAGTCGGGTGTGTCCCCCCACAGGCGGAATAATTATCAGAACATATTTGAACTATTATTCAAAAGTAGTAATTCAATAGTCTGGGGCGGATTTTCGATCATTCTTTGATTATTTCGGTGCACTGTTTGAGCATTGTTTCTATGTCCTCCAAGATCCGCCTGTAGGGGGACACGCCCGACCCGACACTGGCTCTCTCAGCGCTCCCCCTTTCTGCCGCTGGTGCGCTCTTGCGCGAAATCCGACCTCGCAGCCCGAGGCCCATGTTTCGGGGCCGCCCACGACCCGACTGGATGCGATTCGATTTGGTGATTGGGTATTTGCGATTCCGGTCCGCTTCGATCGCAGGCCTAGAGATTGACACCAACACCAATATCGGCGGCGTGCCTCCACCAAGGGAAGAAGATGCCGATCTCGGCGATGGTGGTCATACTCTGGTATCCAAGGTGGCCGAAATATTACCACCAACGCCGAAATCTAGGATCAACTCCCCCCTCTGTGGAGGCAACCCCCTGTGTTGGTCGGGGGCGGCAAAGAGGGGGGTGATGACTGACTGGGGGGGGGGTGGATATCATGGCGTGGGCCATGATATTTCCCCAGATGTCATGGCGCCCGTTCTTATTTCATGTCGTCCCCGGCTCCCCCCCTTGGGCCGTGCACGTGCCGCCGGCCATGATTTGCACCCCCTGCTCTTGGACGCCCCCCTCTTGGCCGCCCCCGAGTTGGTGATGGTGCCCACTTCCAGGCCTCCAATTCGATCCGCGGCTCCCCGGCACTGGCCAGGGCCACCCAGGGCCGGGCGGCGGTCCGATGTCGATCTCTCGGCTTCGGGGCGTTTCGCTGGCCGACCTGATCTGTTCCGAGCCGATCCCCTGGCCTCGCTCGGACGTGTGCATGTTTTTCTCGGCGACGACCATCGAGGAGCATCCTGGATCATCGAGCAAGAAAACCACGCACAACACCGAACATCGCACAGGGAATGGCCGCCCGAGCGACGGCAAGATCCGCACTCCGCGATTCGGTCCAGCGCAGGCCTGCCTTGCAGCAGGCCTGGGGTGGAGAAGGATGGGACCCGAGCGTTCGGGACCAGTCTCAGGGCCCTCGAGGTCGCTCAGGAGCAGCGTCGGCGCCCGCTACGTCCTCCAGACACCCGCAGGGCCCCTGGGATGCCCGACGTG